TGCACTGCATTGCTTTGTACTGCATTCAAGACTGACGTCATGCGCTTTGTTTTGCTGCGTAATCACAAATGGCACCAGCCCATTTTGCGGAAAGAAAAACAAATCTTGCTTGCCCTGTTGTGCTCTTCCAGACAACGGATCGTGCTTCAGCAGTGTTTCTTTTCCCACCATCCCTCCCTAACCAACTTATTCACACCATCATAATTATCGTACCCACTAATCGGGTCCACTCTCACAACTGGTGTTATCTAGCTATTTGCTGCGGCTCTGCCTTGCGCTATATTACATCCATTTAGCATTGCAGCTCTACGTTGAGCTAACAGCAGCTCTACTTTGAGCTAACAGCAGCTCTACTTTGAGCTAACAGCAGCTCTACTTTGAGCTAACAGCAGCTCTACTTTGAGCTAACCGCAGCTCTACTTTGAGCTAACAGCAGCTCTACTTTGAGCTAACCGCAGCTCTACTTTGAGCTAACCGCAGCTCTACTTTGAGCTAACAGCAGCTCTACTTTGAGCTAACAGCAGCTCTACTTTGAGCTAACAGCAGCTCTACCTTGAGCTAACAGCAGCTCTACTTTGAGCTAACAGCAGCTCTACTTTGAGCTAACAGCAGCTCTACTTTGAGCTAACCGCAGCTCTACTTTGAGCTAACAGCAGCTCTACTTTGAGCTAACCGCAGCTCTACTTTGAGCTAACAGCAGCTCTACTTTGAGCTAACAGCAGCTCTGCTCTGAGCTAACAGCAGCTCTGCTCTGAGCTAACAGCAGCTCTACTTTGAGCTTCAAACCAGTTGTTTCGAAACCAGCACTCCTCAATCCAAAGATGCCTCTTTGTTGACTTGTTTGTGTGAGGGATGGGGCTAACAGGCGAATTTTTTGTAGGGGTACTGTAGTAGTAAAAGTTCAACGGGGTCAACGCTCCGTCCGAATTAGCTACGACCATCACTGATTGTACATTTTTTTGTAGTGGACTGGACATTTATTTATTATTATTATTAACTTTTATTTTACTAGGGTGTTTCCCACAGACCTACATGTACTGTATATGGTCTTCTTACGGCATGTTATCAAGGGGGTCGTAAACCTACAACTTCCTAGTGCATCTACATGTACTTGTAGAACATGTACAACTGTATGGAATTTGATGCGAACAGGCGGATTATTACAATTTTATGCGATTCGTATGCAATTTGCCTCGAATTATGCGATTATTCGATTTTGGTAGGAATTATGCGAAAAATTATGCTAGCATAATCCGTCAAGGCCTAACCTTCTGCGAAGCTGCTTGCTGTGATTAGGCAACAGTCTGTGACTATCGTTTACGCAGTCACTTGGGACTTACAGCTAGCCCTCAGGCTGCGTCCTCAGCTCACGCAAAATTCGGCCGTCAAGACTCATGACCTCAGATAGCCCTTGTTGAAATATGCTCCAAGAGTTTGCATGGCAGAACCATGCAAACTTTATGACGGGCATCTCTTTGAATTCCGCTTCTTTCTTTTCTTTATCAACGTGCCGAACATGCATAAAAGGTCTGCCAACTTTCTGCCGGCATTATCCGCCACGAGCTACATGTACCTCCAGATCGTGCTTGATCAATAGTTGCACAATGTCATGCATGTAGTGAAGCAGTCTGCATCTACATTGACAGGGTGCATGACACGCCTCCCACACGTCCCAACATACATTGTACATAATTATGCAGATTCAGAACACACTCACGCTGACTTTATTGTTCCTTGACTGATGACTGTTCGTAAATTTCTGTGACATAGTGGTGCGTTGTCACCTGTACATGTACTTGTGAACAAGCTACATTGTACACTGTACAATGTACATGTACTGTACATTGTACAGTACATGTACACTGTACAATGTACATGTACTGTACATGCGGCTGGTCAACTGCATGACATAATAATTATACAGTCAACTTCGCTAATAACGACTGCGGATATAACGACAATTCGCGAATAACGACAGACTGTTCATGCCCAGAGCAAAGTTCATTCTACCTGTATACATATAATGAGACCTCGGGTATAACGACACTTCGCGAATAAGGACACTTTCTGATGCTCGGCCGAGTGTCGTTATACGCAAAGTTGACTGTACACACAAAAAGCACAACAGAGGTTTACAGATTTGTCGCCACTCAGAGTTTCTTGCTGAATGCAATCATCAGGCAACTACCGGTACATGTATAACTTCTTGCTGAATGCAATCATCAGGCAACTACCGGTACATGTATAACTTCTTGCTGAATGCAATCATCAGGCCACTACCGGTACATGTATAACTTCTTGCTGAATGCAATCATCAGGCCACTACCGGTACATGTATAACTTCTTGCTGAATGCAATCATCAGGCAACTACCGGTACATGTATAATGCAGGCACGCATTTGGAGATGATTCATATTCTATGGCAATACAAATTATGGGAATACACAATAGCGAGAGTTTCCAAACTATGGGGATATGTACATGTACATGTACATGTATACACACGACATGCAAACCTGCAAGTGTAATTCGCGGTCAGCAACGCAGGCCCTGCTCATACTGAGTCATAGGCTCATAGCCGTCTTTTCTATGATTTTAAAACTACTCTCGATCCCGGAGCTTTGCCATGCCCTTCTGGCTCTGCTCCCTGTATAATTCTCCTTTGACATGCACGTGTCAGGCCTTAGACTTGCATGTCATAGACATAGACAGTAGACTAGTAGACTACTAGTAGCACAAGTCATGCATCTACAAAATACACATGTACAATGTCATGTCTATGTATGGTACTCACACTCACAGGCGTTAGGCGTAGCCCAGCTGACTCGATGTTATTCTCGGCTCATGCATGCGAAAGCTATGGCGACTATTGCCATTATTTTGATTACCAGACTGCCACATTTCAGTGGCACGTCGCATTCGAATGGCATGTGCATGTGGCATGCACGGGGTCGATAAGATCTGACTCACACCGTGCATGCACCATGCGCTCTCCGGGTCTCCAGTTCACACAGACTGCGGCAGACCTCCTCCAGCATGCCCCGGGCACACCAGGGACGACTGGGGCCGCTTCCCTCCTTTCCTCGGCCGTCTCGCATGCAGCTGCTATTCGCACTGGGAAAAGAAAGCATGTTGTGTGACAGCTCTCCCAACGGTCTCCCAGGAGCAATTCCAAAGTATCGGATTTTACAATAAACCCTCACCACGCCTGGAAAGTCTTACAGTGCCACGAAAAGAGTATTGCTTTTGTGAACATCAACTACGAATTCATTGCCCAATGTTGGGTGGGTCAGAATTCGACTATAGTATTGTCGACGATGATAATTTCTCCACCAACACATAACATTATGTGAACAGATACACTCTCCCTGAAAGCATGCATGTAGGAAGGAAGTATTTTCCTCTCGGGCTTTCTGGAAAGATGCTGTCATGTACTATCCCCCGAACCCCGAATCAAGACCAGCCAGAGCAACGTGTGGAGAACAGAGGCGTGGAAGCCCAGTAAGCCAGATCGTTGCGATTGACGCTGTCCATGCTCCAGGAAAATTGACGTTGCCGATCAATTGTAGACACTTCGGAATTCGGGATTATTCCATGTGAATGGTCTGTCGTCCTGTTGGTGCATGTGGAATCTGCTCACAGTTACGTTACCAAGAAGCACAACCACCGTGTATTGTTCCGTACGGTCTACTCTTCTCTATGATTGCGTTCTTTTTGATAGTGTTCTTACAACGTTTTGGCCCTGCTGCCCTCGAATCATAAATGCAATGTAGGACTGGATGCCACACGGTCCTACCCGTTTGATTGTCTCAGTGTCTGGAAAGACAATACGTGTAAATGATTTCCGATGCAGTACGTCAGTCACTATGAAAATTTCGTGATGACATCATTTTGCCTTCTTCTGAAGACATTTTGTGTTATTACATTGTAATAACAAAAAACATTTTGTGTTATTACATTGTAATAACACAAAATGTCTTCAGAAGAAGGCAAAATCCATGCTTCTACAACTACAATGTATTCTACGTGCTCTGTACATCTGTATCCTGGGGAGCTCGTGTTTCCCGCTGGTGCATAATCAACTCAGTTTCATCTGACCACCTCGCTGCATGCACAGCTTATGGACATTGAGGAAGTAGCGTTGCAGGAATGAATAATTAACATTGCACGTCTCTCTCTACTAGACACCACATACTTGTACACATTGGGAGGCTACAAAATTATGCAGTCATGACTTCGAAGTGCATGTACATTATACTGTGTTACGTTTGCAAACATGTAAAGGTGTGTAACAGATTCTTAGTGTTTCGACAAATGAGATCTAAGTGGCACGACATACACAGAACACAGTGGGTTTCCCACAAACGGAAAACTGTCTTCTATCACTTGTAGATATTGTGTGAAAAGAAAGGGGAGCCTGTCAAAATTAATGACCACGCTATATTCAGTTGCTACATGTACCTACCCTCAGTCAAAGCACAGAGTTACTCCTCTAAACCAATTGGTTTTTGAAGTTTCGGACTCAGTCACTCTTCCTTAAAATAGACTTGAAAAGAAGTTTAAAATCTTGTAGGACGCATCACGCAGCTTCTTTATTCCTGATGATGGTCATTTTATAACCAAACCGTTGAAATACTTTTCCTGAAATGAATTTGTGAAAAGCAGTGATTGAGTGTGAGCCAGTGTTGCTCACAAGCCAATTTGAAAAGGAGTATTAAATTTACCATGAAGTATGAGACTATGATGAGGGATCATCCTCCCTTACATGCACTGAACTCAGTTACATGTAGAACTGACCGCTTGGATTGCATGAGAAGGAGCGTTCACAAAACAGCCCTTTCGCAAGGCCGACTGCAGTGGGCAGCCAATGATTGAAATCCACATTGTTTCACGTTCCAGTCGGCCGTGCCATCTCCACCTATCCTAGTAAAAGATGCCACGATTTCCCGATGCACATGTACCCACTACCACACTCCTTTATTCACTTCAGTGTCTGGAGATAAGTGGATATTGTAAGGGAGAAAAAGATTAAAAACATACGCAAACACATGTACTATCTTGATATGATGTGTAAAAGCAAAAGGTTACTGTTGGTGTCCGCCGTAGAGGTTAATGACAGGTCTTTCCAGGTCAACCTAGTAAAAATTAATATCACGCAGCAAATTAGGCTTTAAAACAGGATCCAGGTGCAGATGCTGTCCTTTATGCATAAGTCAAGGATTATGCAGCAGCCATGGTAATAAAAAAAGGGGAAAACCAAGTCCAACATAGCAAGCGCCATCCATATTCCCATCTTTGGCGTGTTTACCAGAGTAACCATCAGGTAAACCACTGGCCAAGCAAGTACCTGAACACCTAGCAAAACGTCTTCCCGGTAGGGCATATAATTGTGTTGTGAATCATGCGGTTCTTGACCCAAATGTATGCAAATGGATAAATTTGTCTGACAAAAGCCTCAGTTGATTATTAGTGCGTCCTACATTGAGACAGTATGACAAATGAGTTCCAACACCCCTAGCTGTTAGGAGTCAAGGAAATATACGAGCACTTAGGCACTCGACAATCAGATCATAATGGTACAATTGTACGAATCAACAACCAAATTACTACAGCAGCACAATGCGCAGAACAAATCAGCATATCCGATACGAAGTTCCGAGCATGTTATACAGTTTTCTTCCTCTTCCGTTTAACAATGCCGAGTAGTGGCAAGCTTTTGCGACGCCTTCGCTCGTTTTCTCGCTGGACAAGTCGCGGAATTAGACGTCTTCGAGCATTAGTCAGCCTGGAAGAGAGTGTGAGAGAGAGAGAGAAAGAAAGAGAAAGAGAGAAAGTGGGACAGAGAGAAAGAGAGAAGGACAGAGAGAGAAAGAGAGAAGGACAGAGAGAGAAAGAGAGAAAGTGGGACAGAGAGGGAAGAAACAAGCTACTCAGACACCAAATTGGTGTTGGAATTGTATTAATTTCATCCTGCTCTTAGGGAATAACAAGCATGGCTGGTGGCTTGGATCGGCGGTTCCCGCATCGGAAGCATCACACTCACAAAGCTATAGCTTGTTAAATAGCAGAGGTCATTCCACGAGCATAATTATGTGAAACGGAAATATGCGTATTCCAGGAGCATTTTGTCAACTATCACCCTCAGAAACCAGCAAACTAGCTAGGATATGGGTGTTTGAACTGCAGTCACATATTATTATGTAGACTACACATGAGTTATTAGCTTCTATTGAACACTAGCCAATACAACCATTATTGGAACACGCCAGACCTAAGAATTTCAGAAATTCGTACAGTTGAAGGAGGTAGAGAATGAGACAAAGGACAGGATGGAGAAGTGGTTAAAGACAGACATAGAGGAGGTGGTAGAGAAGGACAGGGGGAATCGGACAGACAGGAGACAGACATGAATTCAAAATGAAGGCACCTTGCTTGTGTACTGTGCTGTCTAGCCCGTGCAGACATGTACAGTGCTTGCAACATGTTGGGAGAGAGCAAAATGCATATCACGACACATATCAAGCAGGTAACATTTTCTAAGGGAGATGGACAAGCGTTGAGGGCATGTTGGCGAAATGTACAAATCTCCATCAAACCATGGTTTAGTCCTCATCGATGGGTGTGTACCTATTTCCATTCCCATTCCCACCCGAGTATGTTGTCAGTACACTACACAGTCTACTCTCAATAAGTCGTGCACCCGATCTAGAGGACAAAATGTGTGACTTACATTGTATTGTATACATGTAGGACTCAGTATAGAGTCCATGCACTATATGATGTCCAGCACCCTATATAGAGTCCATTGGTCCAAAATCCACTATACAGAGTCCAGGAGTCCACTCAGTTTTGATCAGCTTCATCCTGCCGCGCAATCCCCTATAAGGAGTACACTTTTTCTACAAGTCCCCTATTCACAGTCCAGGAGTCCAGTTTATCCAGTCACGCCGTCCTGTGTGTTGTGCCCGAAAGAGAACAAAAACATTTTCAGTTTTGCTTGCCTCGTGGCAGCGCATTCCTTTCTTCACTTCAGCCATGGCTGCCAATTCTGCTGTGCAGTTGCTGACAGTAGTCTGTCTCGAGGTAACCAAGGAGGATAAGGAGACGTTCAAAATCAAATCTGGAAAGCGTCTTGTGGTTCTCTGAAGACGTTTCATCAGTGCGCGGGATGAAAGCAGAAATTGCAGAACGAGAAAAGTTCAGCACAGTTCAAATCTGACGAGTCAGGTACACTGACGCTCTCTTTCGTGACGCCACAAGGATCCCCTGATTGGCTGGCCATTGCTGCCAGTAAGACGTTTGAACGGTTTCATCAGAGCGAGGGATGAAAGCAGAAAGCGGAGAAAGAGAAAAGTTCAGCACAGTTGCAATCTGACGAGTCAGATACACTGACACTCTCTTTCGTTCGACGCCACAAGGATACCCCTGTTTGATTGGACAAGAGCTGCCTGTACCACCGTGTCAAAAGGCTGTCCAACTACATGGCAGGACGATGACTGAGGTAAGGAAGCTTTTACTCGTTTCGATTGGTCTGCTGTTCTGTCGTTATGCTTGAATATTTTTTTCCATTTTCAAGGAGCGTATCGCGTTTGTTTGATGTTGCTTGAATGAATGCCCTAAAAGTAATCAACCACTTCGTAATAGTCCTCAAGGACTGCAAGGACTTTGCATCAATCGTATATGATCGTCTAGCTATCATCAATTATTATTTTATTTCATGAGAAATGTATTCAAGTTTATCCCTGTGATAATTATGTGAACTCCACGACACTCTTCCTGTAGTATGATGTCAAATACAATGGGATCCACAAACGCAGTGCCAGTGTACTAGTAGTAGTAGTAGGACTAGGAGGATTGCTTGTATGCCAATGACAAAAAAAGCTTCTCAAGCTAATACTCGTATTCCCTGAAGTAACCGTTTTGATGTCACCAACATGACATTGTGTCAGTGAAACTGCCTCGTGACAACAAATCATTGCATTTCCATCTTGGGGAAGACTGACTGACAGCAACGCTGTACAGATTGTTCAAATCATCTCATTTCAATTTAGTTGCAGTGAAGTGAAACACTGTGTACACTACATGTATGTTGGTGTGTCTGTGCGTCTTGAGTGTGCACAAACGATCTTATTCCTCGTATTACTAATAGATTATTGTCCCCACCATCACCTGTTCACAGGTCTTTGAGTGGATTGATTTTCATTGAGCATCACATTCGTTGAGAACTTGGTAGTTGTGTGCTCCCATGCATCATTACGGTAATAAACGTCTCCTTGTGCTATCTATTTGTTGCAGGTGTGCTGATCTTCAGAAGCTTGCGGAACTGATTGCTGCTGAACATTTGCATGGCCATGAGCAATGGTGAAGCTTGCTATTGCACTCTCAGCATGTGCTAGTATTATGCTGACCACTGCACTATGTTACTCTCTTACACTACTACGTGTATGTAAACGTGCGTGTACCCGTCCCCGTACGCATTAGTTTCGTATAATTATTTGTTATCCCTCTTGACTTTACATGTAAATGGGTGGACGTTTGCATGGCTGTTGGAGTTGCGTGTGTATTGTGTCTCTACTCTTTTCTTGGTGTTTTCTTGGCGTTGTATAAGTTTGTGTGTGTGTGTGTGTGTGTGTGTGTGTGTGTGTGTGTGTGTGTGTGTGTGTGTGCGCGCACGCACAATAATTTGAAAACAAATAATTAATCCTGGGCTCTCCACTATTCTCTTTCGATTCTTGGTTTTTTCTAGTTATTTTCTTGGCGTTGTGTGGGTGTGTGCGTGCACAATAATTTGGCAACACTAAATGATTGAGATGTTGTAATTTGCAGCGTCTGCGAAGAGACTACTTGATTTGAGGATGGTGTTTGTAGGGTTTTTCATGTAATGAAGTGGCTGCAGTGGCGCCTCAATACATATTTTTTTATCTTGAGAAGTGAATGATGTAAAGGATTAAAGGGAGAGGCCGTTTTCTGGTCAATATTCACTGCTTACAGCAGATCCTATGTCTAATTTCGAACTCTGGATAGGGGATGCCTAATTGGCTGGACTTTATACAGGGGTGTTGTCCACATAAAGAATCCTTATAGTTGATTTCAAAGTTTGGACTCCGTACAGTTGATTTTGGACCAATGGACTCTATATAGGGGTGAAGCCAATTGGCTGGACTCTATACAGGGAGTGATGTCCATCAAAACTTTGAGCTCACAGTTGATTCCAAGTTTGGACTCTGTACAGTGGATTTTGGACCAATGGACTCTATATAGGGGTTGGACATCATATAGGGGCTGGACGCTCTACTGAGTCCAACATACATATACAACATACCGTCCGGATTTCGAAAGTGCACGACTAAGATCATGAGTGCCTGTTATCACCAGTAGACTTTAGGTGTACTGGAAGAGCCAGACCAGAAGCTGTTTCACCAGAAAAAATTAAAAAAAATTAGGAGGAACCAAAAAGACGGAAAACAGAGAAACAAATAGAAACTATAGAAGAAGAAATGAGGTCCAAGGAAGTACTAGTTCCGTGATAATATCCACTAACACCTGCCACAGTACTGTACAATCAGCTCATGTGATAACATTGCACGGCCCTGACCAGCTGACATACATGTACATCCGCCAACGTCCTTCGCAGCTGAGACTTTCAGCTCGTGCTTGTCTTCGTTACGCTCACCTTGCCCTCCTATGCTATTTCTAACTTAGAACCACACTCCATCATTCACCCCAGTGTCTGGAGATATGTGGATTTTGTAGAAAAAAAAAAAAAACCTTCCAAGCTGTAGAACGTCAGTACCGTTGGACAATGACGTGCAATGTTTTCGCACGAGCTGATCGTAAAGTAACTGCAGGTGTTAGTGGACATTATCGCATAACTTGTGGTTCCTGGGTCCTCATTTCTTCTTATAAATGAATCCTTGGCTTTCCACTTGAGTCTAAATGGAAAATAGGGAAACAATCTGGTCGTATTCGTATTTTACACTGCGCAACTACTCACCAGGAACTAACTTGCTTCACGGTGAGACGTGACTCCCGTGCAAGCTGACGCTTCTCCACTTTTGTAGCATACGGGTACTGGAGAAGTGCAGAGCACAAACAGACACATTTGTGTTAGAATCCCAGAGAATAATAATCCCAGCATAAATGCACATTGGCGGTGCAAAATATTTTCAAATGAATGAAATGAGTCGGAATAAATTTGCCACCCTCCCAATAATGCTACGCTGTCCACCAATTTGAGTGGTAAGACAAATACATGATTGGATTTCTAAGTCAACACATACCTGTATATTCTTGCAGACCCAGAGATGGAGGACATCTGTGGCTGAAGAGTCAAACACTTGCTTAGCGGTGGACGGCTCGACGACTTTCTTTAGCATATCCAAGCTTAGAGGTAGCGCATCCTCACCACCACATCCGTAGCTAATTTCATCTTCGTAACAACTGGCAGTGTCGGACAATATTCCGCTTTCGGATGGACAGCCTACCGCATCTGCAGTAGATGAGCTACAGGTACTGTCACTATCAGAGTATTGATGATCAACAGCCAAAGAGCTATACGCTGCCTCAAACCGTACGGAGTCTGACGGACATTCAGCACCCGTTGGGAATGTTTTGTCTAATGTGGTGCCATATATCGGGCTAGACTGAACACCCATCACTCGTCTAGCTTGTAGTAAAGAACCATCGGAGTGCCGTTCTACATTGCTTGGCGGTTCTGTTCCTGAGGAGCAAGCTTGCCAGAGTGTATGTGCCCGGTCAGAGCAATATCCCGGGAGACTCCATGAAGTGTCTTCATGCACACTCGTGCGTACGTTACTGTCTAGGCCGATGCCAGAACTGACACTTATCGGTGTTGCTATGCAGGGTGATGAGATAGGCCGGAGAGGAACAAGCATTGTAGTTGGTTGGAGGTGCACACGAGAGCTACCACAGTGACCAGGGGTACTTCTGGAAGACGAGATTTGCCTGAACTCAGCTGCAGCAGGCTGGAGGCACAGTTGCAATGCATGGGTATTGGCTGGCTGTCCTGGGCTCCCCAGCGAGAGATCGGGGGATGGAGTTGTAAGCAGTTGGGGCTTAGCAGTACCTTTAGAATCAGCTTGCTTGCTCATCACGCTGTCTGGTGATGGAGTTTCCAGGGAGTTCCTTGGCATTGGGTTCCTTGCAGATTGTGGGAAATAATGTCCAAATGTCGTCTGCAATTTAGTAGATGATTCTGCTGGCTGGAAGATTCCCTTTGGTATGTCGGTTTGGATTTGTGGCTGGCACAATGGCATGTGTTTGCCAATGCACGGGGACAACACCAGCATGTGCTGCCCCATAGGAACAACTACACATGGAAACAAGAAAATAGCAAAAGAGAGACAAGGCAAATTTAGCATGCACACCATTGTTATTGATATTTACGACGAAACTTGCACATAATTTCTTGCCAGAAAGAAATTCACAAGTCTTTATTATTAATTGTACACCATTTTGATGGTTTTACGGTGATTTTATTCACAATACAAACTTTTCGGAAACACGTGCAGGCGTTGAAGGTAGCCATTTTTCAAACCTCCAATCAGAGAAAGAGATTTTGGAAAACATTGTCTCCGTGGAGAACAATGAGGATCAGGAGAGGTGAAGTACAGGCTGAATGGTATATACTACGGCTGAGCTCGAGTATGATGCACATGTACTTAAAACTGGACAAGCAGCAAGAAGAAGAAGATGATGAAAGATTCGCTGTAAATACCCAGATATTTTTCATTACTGTGGTGTGATTATTGCCTCGTGTGCAAAACTCGAAGTCACACATCTGCTTCTTGATGTACATGTAAGTTTCTCTGCCCTGGGGCGTCAAGCACTCGATTGTACAGCCTGGAACCTTTCTGTTTTAAGACTGGACATGATCAGGCTAGGTCGCTGTGACCGTTGAAAAGGGGCTTTACCATTACCATAACTCACTGCAAAAAAATTCCAAGATAATTCGAATCGTCAGTTAGGCCATAAATATCAACAACAGACACCTGAAAGACCAATATCCCAAGCAAACGTAAGTACAGACTAAACTGACTACTGATACAAGTTTGGTTACCAATTGCACTGCCTTAGGCAAGTCTTTTCCAGGTACTGCCACTTTTCAATGGTGGATGTCCATCCATTTCTCGGTCCATGGTACAACTTTACAAACTATCCTTCTTGCACGTTGTACATGTGCTGTTGAGGCTTGACACCAAGTATGGATGCATATTTGTGCAGCCAACATGTGCAATGAGCAGGGAATTACCATGATTTCTAACAAAATAGTACAGAGTACTTCAGGCCTTGTGCCAAGGAAAGAATCATGCCTTTGTCCTTGCTCATTGACGATTGTCATAATGTCACCACAAAATTGAATCCTGTGTCAGAAATATCCCGCAGCAGAATGACACTCGTGTACCAATCACTTCTCGGCCGTGCATACTAACTGCTACAGCCTCTGGGCCAATCCCAGGACTACATGTATCCACAGCCTTGCAGCAACTACTACAAACCATCGAGTATGTGGCGGCCACTGGGCATACAGACACTTCACTACAACCATGGTTTGCTCACCACTACTCAAACTCCCCTTCCCAGAAGCATTTCTCCAGTGTGCAGCCCAAAAGCTAAAACACAGTATAGTTTTCTTTTAACACTCCACTTACAGACTTCGACTTCTCTGCCAAACACTATATTCACCAAATTGTCCGGCACAGCCCCATCTTCGTGATCATACTAGTTTAAACTACTACATAACACTTTGACACAAGATGAGCTGCGAAATACCGCATCACCAGGCCTCGAAATTTCACCACTGATCCACATAATACTGAATCAGCATACATTTTCACTCCTAAACAGATTGCTATGAGATCAAGGGTTGCTTCCAGCAAAGCAAATCCAACCCGAGAAGCACTGCATGGTCATTCTGTTATACTCAGAGACGTGTTTGGTGATCTTACTCACAATTGAAAGCTAGTTCCAGGCAGACGTGCTCGAACAAATGCAACGAAGTATATTTTCGGAATCAGTACCATATAGCGAAAGACCTCCGTTGGCAGCGAACAGTATCAAGTCATTTAGTACTGCTAGTGGGTGAACGCGTGACAAGACATCTATGCAGATTGCTAACAATCACTGTGACAAAAACAAACCATACCTACACTGGAGTGTGCAAATTCCCTCCGATGTACATGCACATGGATGCGTGTACTTTTCAATGCCAATGCTCCTTTCAGCAACTGCTGTTACGTTCCTCCGGTAAAACGTACTTGGTTAGCATGTTACGCAGTGATCAGAAACCTATTTCTGCACCCAGGTGTTCATGTACAATCACTCAAGATGTAACAGCAGGGACACGCGTAACACAATTCAATAAAGGCACAGAACAAAACTCGCGCCATACGCTCAACTCCTACACTCATTGTGTGGGAAACCTCGGTATGCGATGAAGATGGCTAACTTACTTAACTTGTTTCTCCCCAACACCAAAAAAACAACCTTACCTCTTATCGATGAGATTGGTGGTGATGGTGACGAGGAGATGGATGATGAATCACTGGGTGGACAGCTGGAGAATGACGAAGGAAAGCACCGGTACTGCTGCTGATGATGACGGATTTGAAATGATTGATGCATTGCTGCTTGACAAGGTGTTTTATGGCCTGCACCGTGTCCCTTGACGGCCGCCGCGCACAGAATCTCCGGCCGGCAATCCTGACAAGGTGACGTGTAAGGCGTGCTTCGAGAACCGGAAGGTACGGCATTATCGGCCATTTCCGATTTTCAAGAATATGCGAATCGACCAATATTTCATCCAGGAAAGCACTATCAGAAGTCTGACGATTTGGAGTGTTTGGTACAAATACCTTGGCAACTACTGTACTATAACTGTTGATATCAACTGTAGTTTTTATTGCCGGACGTTTCGTCCGTAGTTTGAGGAATTGAACTGACTACTATCGTCAGAGTGCATATTTATAGGTGAGGCTCAGTGCGGCAGCCATGTGCAGGTTCCAACCAATAGGGATTTGGAGTTGCCCAGCACGGGGAATGGTCCATGTTCCAGCATTGCCATCATGGGTGAGACTCCCAGCCAGGCTTGTAGCAGACATCCTGGGCTGGAGATCCTCCCCAATTTTGTGCTTGGCTAGCGTCCGGACTTGACTTGACGCAGGGGGCCAACCTTCCTATGCATGCAGTTTGCGGTCATGATTTCCAATTGATGTGTTGGGCAAACATCCGCTGATCCAGCCATGGGCTGTGTACTGGTGGGATGTTGACTGTGATCCATACATTGCTCTGTAGCATACACCACTACGCTCGCAATCCGTAGAAGCCGGAGCAGGGTTGGAGGTGTCTGTCGGTATGGTGGTTGTAGCGAATAGCATCCGCAAATCAGTACAGGTACCGGCTCCGTTGTCCGTCCCAGTACTCCAATGTGTCGTTGTGCCATCATAATAATGTGCATGTGCAGTGCTGACCATCCATGAAACTCTACTAGTACTAATACTAATAGTATACAATGTGAGGAACCAGTCCAACGTAGTGCTGGTTGGTCACCACTGGCATTTCCAGTGCAGTTGAAGTAGGGCACTTGTCATACTCTAAAACTGAGCAGAGCGCTACTCCCAGGAACAGCGCATGCACAGAGCCTGGACCACTCGCCCGGGATCAATCTTCACAAGCAGTACTCAATCAGCTGCAAGGTACAACGGCTCGACTCCGGAAGAGGTTGCACGCACGCACGCAACGCGCATGGCGTGGTTACCCCCAGCGCTAGCGGTTGCCAAACATGGACAATGGGCTCCTCCGGCCGTCTTCTCCCTCCCGCATGCAGCATGGCTCTTCACAGCCCGAAGTAGAGCCTCTTCGTTAGTAACTTTCGACTTGAAAGAATCAGAATCGACAGAAGTCAACCAGTTTCGCCATTTGGCTTTACCTTCCATTGTGACAATCTCCTGGTGTACATAGAGTCCACAGGTGAAGATGTTTGTATCCCTGGCGAGCATCGGAGTTCGCATGGTTCATCGCTATTGATTTTGTTGCTGCTGCCACTATCAACTCGACAAAACCATTTGGCACAAACTGAAGTGAAAAATGAACGAGCTCCGCCTGTGAACCAGGTGAACTGCACGAGACCATAACACTCACATCGTGATAATTACTATCAGATCCACAAATGGCTGCACGCTAGCGCTATTGTTGATGGTGCCGATGACATCATTGTACGTACTGTCTACCTAGCTACAAATGCAGACCACTTGCACTAAGCAAAATTTTTCTTCGGCGGTCAAAATGACGGACCTTGATTTCTAGATGCCTTGACTTGAGAACCAGTGTGTTCACAATGTTCTCGTTGCAAAATCGACACCGATGTCGACATGAAAGTGATACGACTCCTCGAGTTCGGCTCCAGAAAAGGTCACACGTTTCACATTCTGTGAACTACATGATTGCATGCATTCGATGGCACGGGTTTGGTGCGGATGTGCCCGTTCAGCGTGCGTGGTGCAAAGAACCGCGTACCGTGAGTTTTCACGAAAGAGACTCCGGGAGGAGACGTCCGGGAGTCGTGCTCTCGCTGAACCACGCGAAGCGAGGAGATGGATTTCACCTGTACATCTACCCACTTGCCCATGGCACCTTAGCAGCTTCACATAGTATTGTACTGACATGTTGTAAAGCAAGAATGCCGCCGGCGACATTTCCGGTCGGAGAGTGCATGGTTACTCACGGTTTGACCTACAACTACTTGTAGCTAGATCCAAGCGTCATGTTCAACACCTACTTTACAGTTGTAGATGGACGTCTGTGCTGAGCAAAAACATTCTTTTGTTCACCTCAGGGTGATCGTGGCATGGCGCCCGCCATCGAAATATTGTTAGATTTGCGCCGAAGCTTCCGCTCTCGATCAAGTGGTCTTGTGTCACTTTAATACCATGATGAGTTGACGACTTTTGTTGTAATCATTGAATCATCCTGTTGTTCATGTACATGTACATGTAGGTGTGCATCTACCCTCCTTGCAACGACTATGTCAGTTCCCAAATGTACATGTACATGCGGACACATACTGTAATTATTGTACCATGTACAATCATGTAGATCTAGATTACAGTTCTGTACTACTAGCATGATTACTAGCATGATTGTAGTTACAAATTACTGCAAAGTACAAGTGGCGCTGTACTCTCCGATCACGGAAGAGGAGGTATTACATCAGCCCGTCTTGTATGATATTATTGTGCCTTTATACGGATACTTGTACATGAACTCAATCTCCGGATATCTAGCTGTTTCGACCTTGTTAGGTCCCGTCAGCGGTACTACAGTGGAGATCGGATATGACGACCTTGCATATAACGACAGATTGAGTTTAGCGACACAATTCTGTTGCCCAAGTCGTTTAGTAAGTCCTTTGTGAAGATCGGGTTTAGTGACAGATCGAATATAGTGACATTTTGTTCCCTCCCGAAGGAGTGTCGTTATATCCAATCTCCATTGTACATGGATGTTACGTTGTAGTCCCCGCACAGGCATGTTGTGTGGGACTCACGAATAAGACAGTAGTATCTACTTGTATGTACATTGTACATCTACATGTACATAATAATTTACATGTAGATGACATTGATTGTGCACCTGTCTATTCTTCTTCACATATAGACTCCACAGGTACAATACTAGTACATGTACTACATTCTGTAGTCTTGAAGAGTCCATAGCTGCTCAATCAATCAAAATGGTGATGAACTCTGTCAGAGACGCGGCAGTCGGTGCAGATCCAGTCCAGAGGTCATGAAAACTACAAAATAGTACAATGGGCATGTACATCTACTTCGAGGTACATATCTACATTGCACAATAATTACACACACATGTTGTTGGTGTGACAGCATGAAATTTGACAATCTAATACAATAGTTATACATGTACATGTACATGTGTATGCTCAGTCACTCAGTCAGTCAGTCAGTCAGTCACCTTTCTCACTCTCGTCTCTCCTCTACTTCCATTGGGGTAGCTGTGCGCTTTAATCCAGGCACCATTGGTTGGGAAACGCACCGCACCCGCACGGCACATGTAGACACTCTACAAGTACATGTACATGTATGTAGATCTACATACATGTACATGTACATGTACATGTATGTAGATCTACTATGCTCAGCTCTTCTCCATTTCCAGGTAGGGATCACTTTGATAAAAAGGTAGGCCACTTTCTTCAAAGGCAGGCTGCACAGAACTGTTATTACAAACATAGGCCCATGATAGGGGGCAATGGAGAAATCACTCTTAATTATTAATCTGTCTCGATCGAATCAGAGGCGGCCATTATACATTGTACAATCATGTACATGAAGTCCGTCTTCATCTAACGACCCTGCAGTTATCTGGGATGTTGATGGGCGATGTGCCCATTGAAAGCTGTGTACATAACGTACATTGTACATGCTAGTGGCACTGAAACATGATGGCTGTTTTCGTTGTTGCTGCCCCTACTGGTGATTACTGTATAAGTACAAAGTTTCGTTTGGAATTAACTTTCGCCATATTCGTTAGGGGCACGAAATAACTAAAGTTCGTACTTCGTAGTAGCAAACTAAAGTTTTTTTCTGAAGATTCGGGGTGACAGACCTCGACCAAAAACGAAATTTAGTACGTAACGAACCTGCTGGTGGAGTAATCGAATGAAAGATTTCTTGAAAGAAAATTTGTACTCAGACAGTATCACAATGGTTGTCATTCTAAGTCATGCCTTGGGACGTCGACGATGTAATGCGTCAACGTTAGCACTACACCTAACAATGAAGTACACGTTGAACTTGACCAATAACGACTGCGGATATAACGACAATTCGCGAATAACGACAGAATTTCCATGCCCAGAGCAAAGTCCCATCCCACTGGAATACATATAATGAGACTTCGGGTATAACGACACTTCGCGAGTAAGGACACCTTTTTGATGTCCCGCCGAGTGTCGTTATACGCGAAGTTGACTGTACACGTTGAACTTGACCGCGTCAAAGTTCCTGCTTCAGTCTTCCACCATCCCCTCCCTGGCACGTGAAAACGAACTTGTCTTGTCTTCGCCACCATGGCGAGCAAATAGTCGATTTCTGCGGACATTTTGGGCTAACAAAGCAGGTTTGCACAGGTGTTGAGGCATGCATGGTAGCTAAATCAGCTCACTTGCACGGAGAACATACATTGTACATGACTACATGTACATGTACATGTATGTGGGTGTTTCCACATTTTACATGTGCGCGTCGACCGCAAACCCTCACGGGTGCATTGTATGATAGTGTACTCCACAAATAGATGTTGCTGACCAACTCCCATCTGCTGACTCTCTTCCAATCATAATAGACACGATCCTTACAAGAATAGCTCTTGCTAAAACTGGACACATTGGCAAGATCCGAAGAAAATCTCGAACTGCCTTTAAACCCGTCCAGTGGTCGCCTGGGTATTTTCGACAGAGTACCAACAGAGCCATCGCCAGATCAAGCACACGTAATTAATCTACTTCAGTAACTTTGTTCACATCCTATAGCATGTACTAGTAGTTTCCAATCAACGGGGAGGGGGAGATCCTCATCAGAACAATTGGAATTTTGGCCGGCTTTCCAAGTTGCGCGATTGCAAAATTTAATAATGATCTGCTTTGATAGGAGTGACTGCTAATAATTGCCTGGGTTTGACTTTGGATTTTTCTTCAATCATCTTTCCGATCACATTATCATGGATTTTCAATAAAATTCTTTGACTCATCAGAACAATTGAACATAACCGCTGCAGTGACTTGACCCAGTGTAGCACCATGGCAACAAAATGGTGTCACCACTGTAACTGGGTTTCCTAGCAATCCTGCACTTTTTTAAGTAAAAGTAATTCAATTTTCATCTTAAACTTCAAAATTGCAGTTAGGTGTCACACGCGATGCAGCTGAAAGCGAGGGATCGTCCAAATATTCTACTTCGAGGACAGTAGTTAATGATGCTCGATACAATTTGTAAGACCAAGAATGGACAAAGAACTCAACGCATTCAAATGCAACCAGGGCTTGTTGTTATGACAGTGACTACTAAATTTAATGCTGCTACTGGTGTCGCTGATGCAAGGCATTCACGCGTAATTCACCTGATTGTTGGGGACATTTGCTACTCTCCGTTCAGTCGGTCTTCATTACGACACTATCCGCGAACGATGTGTTAGGCGATGTTCTGCTAGTCCTTAACAAGCACTTCACGTGTGGGGGCGATTGTGGCCGATCACCTGTCCACACGATGAAGGTGAAGAAGGGCTTCTTTTGTATTAACGTGCCTGAGTCGCTTGCGGTGACGCTGTGGTTTTACTCACAGCCCCAAGGAGTGAGCTTGATTCTCCACATTTCGTGGAACGTGTACATCGTGTAGTACAGCACGTTTGCAGGGTGGTACGATGTGCGAAAATACTGGACCGTTTGCGAGCGCTTGTGGTGCAATTACTGCATCTCAGCAACACTGACTGGAAATTTGCTAAGGGGCTTGGTCCGTTCTAACGTAATTTAAATACATGGAGATACAATCATGTACATATACATGTACATGTATAAGGTTCAGGTTGAACACAAGCGGGAAACTTGTTTCTGGGGGACTGGAACGTGAGAGACCATCTTCTACAGCCATTATTAATCAAGTGCGAGAGTAATTCCTAGGACAGCAAAAAGTAAAGTGCTTGCTATGTGCAGTTGAAGTTGACAGAGCTTGTCCATGCTTATAAGGGTCATATGAAGTACCGGTAATCGAATTATCCACGGTTGGTGGACCCATTGTGGTTCTGCTTCGGGAACAGAATTTTGTTTGAGAAGTGGTTGCAAGCACACGAGGTGGTCTGAAGATGTGTGCCGGTTGGAGCGTGGCTACTTTATACACGAAGCGAATATACACATACACTGCTGGCAGCTGAAATCCGACCCCCTGAGCGGTGCGCTCACATCGCACAGGCCCGACACGGGATGGTAAAACTACGAAACAGAGACCGCTAGAATGTGTACCCACCGCTCAGGGGTCGGATTTCAGTTGCCAGCACTGTACAATGCCCTTAGTTCATGTCTCAGTACTAGTGACCAGCAAAGACTGGACCAATGAATCTTATACAATTCTCTCTCTTTCGTTGCTGCTGATCGTGATAGGTACATGTATAGGCAGCTTGTTTATCAGTGTACTTAGGTTAGTTCTTTTCATGCTGCTGCCTTATGACACACATGACGCCCCTACGACCAGAATGGTTATGGGTTTACACCAAGAGTACATAACCAGGTTATGTACTCTTGGTTATACATCCATCCATACACACATACATACATACATGTACCACCCCTACCCCCCCCCCCCCCCCTCCCACCCCCCCACACACACACAAGCACACGTATTCATGTATCTGCTTAGTCCGGTTCTCGCATCATCCCAATATCTGCCACTGCACTGGTCAAAGGCATGGATGATGGCTTCTAAAAAGGACAAGAAAGGACTCTGACAAGTGACAGGTACACGTACGATGTGAATGGGAAACACCGTCTTTTTTTTAAGAGTCCCCAGTATATCCCGCTCGCTCGTTATGACCATCCATCGGCATAACTTCATAAGGAAGACCAGCATATCGATGATGATGCCGCGGGATGGTCTAACCCATTGCGCCGGGTAACACATGCCTCTCAGTCTCTATGCTTAGTATTGTTAAGGCGACATTACAGGTATGGTGTACTCCTCCACCCGAGAAGACCGTGACCCTCTAAGATGAAGATCACTAAAGCTTGACCCCTTCATCTATAATAATTATGGACATTGGTGTTGTGCATGTTTCAACTTCAGTCTTAAACCACCTATTGCTAGGTCGAATAACGATATACTTAAACACAACAGCTCGAATGAAGTCTAGGAACGGGAAAGGGGGAGAACAGCAATACAATAATACGGTTATGCAATGACCCCGAACCATAACCCTGATCCGCCAAGGGTTACCACAATGTGATGTTCCCTTGAGGCGGAAACAGTTTAGACTCAGATTGCGCACAGCAGGACGAGAGCGAGCGAGAGAGAGAGAGAAAGAAAGAGAGAGAGAGAGAGAGAGAGAGAGAGAGAGAGAGAGAGAGAGAGATAGAGATAGATAGAGATAGAGAGAGAGAGAGAGAGATAGAGAGAGAGAGAGAGAGAGAGAGAGAGAGAGAGAGAGAGAGAGAGAGAGAGAGAGAGAGAGAGAGAGAGAGAGAGAGAGAGAGAGAGAGAGAGAGAGAGAGAGAGAGAGAGAGAGAGAGAGAGAGAGAGAGAGAGAGAGAGAGAGAGAGAGAGAGAGAGAGAGAGAGAGAGAGAGAGAGAGAGAGAGAGAGAGAGAGAGAGAGAGAGAGAGAGAAGGAGAGACAAAGAGAGACAAAGAGAGACAAAGAGAGACAAAGAGAGGCAGAGAGAGGGAAGGAGATGGAAGAGAGAGACAGTAAGAGACCGAGGAAAGCATTGAATTCGCCGAGCTAAACGCGCGCAGTCACCCAATTCCATGGAAGCGAAAGGAGGTTAATTGCATTATCACGTACAAACTGTGCGTGCCATTATGTGTACAATCGAATACTCTACTCGTGATCGCATCGATCCGAGTCTTCACTGTTGTGCCGCTGAGTGTCTCACAGCAAGGAACCGGCACACCTAGACTTGCACACATCCGGCACACGGATTTTTCTTCAGACTTTTGATTGCGTAGCGCCCTCGTCACAAATCACAGGTTTTATGTGGCCACAAAACTGTTCCATCACGACGTTGGCCTGCAAAAAATGTCCCTTGATTAATAGTCTCTTACGCAGCTAATGACTGCCTGACAATAACGGTAAGGGTCAGCTAAGGACTTGTGACCTGGTATCTTAATGCAATCAACCCCGGAGGCCAAGCACACGTGGTCTCTGGGTGCCAGGTCAGTCAGCGCAACGCCAAAGAATGCACAGCTCGCAGCTTACTCTGCCAATAACTGCATGACTTTGTACAGTCATGTAGATCTACAATGCATAATGGTGGGTTGGCGGGGCGGGCGGGCTAGTCAGAATAATAACGTTATAATTATTGCACGTACGTACGAAAGGGACATACCATACGTTGTACTCTCGGCGCCGAGAGGCTGGCTAACAGTAGTTAGTAACACGGCCCTACTAACACCCATGTACATGTACAATACATGCATGGCAGCTTCGTACATGTATCATGTCCCAACCCCAAGACGAAGTACAGAAGCCATAATGGCCGGAATGAAAGACAAGTAAAAAATTTAAGCCATTACTTTGTACGAACAGAATAATTATTACGTCTGAATTCTAGTTCCAGTGTGAAATCCAAGGACTCGTCAACAGTATTATTATTTTGACGATTCCCCAGTGAAATCGATCAACGAGCTACGTAAACAAAGGAGAAATGGCTCGGGCGCGAATTCGCACCCAATTCGCCGTGTTCCGTGCAGTTGACCTCCGGCTACGCGGGTCCACAAGGCGACTGACTGGTCTGTCGACACAGGGTGGTGCTGGGGTAGGCATCGACCATTGAGAACTGAATTCCGTCTATTTTAAGTGGAATTTCTTGGAGTTTGCAAATAATCGACTTGGAGTTTTCGAATGTACATGTATTGTAATGAATTCTTGAATTTTCTTTTCATGGTATTTTCTCACATCCATAGGCTTTATCTTGCCCGTAAGAGGCCTTTACCCCGAAAAATGTACATTGTAAGCGACGGTGCAGCGGCATGAGCAAGTATCCGCACTCTTCTAGGGCTATACCCCTCCCCCCCCCCCCAAAGAGCGTACATGTTCCGTACTCGCGCGATTGGAGCTAGCCCTTTCTTGAATAGTGCCCCGGTCTATAAGAGGCAGTGAAAACATAAAGCCCTCTCTTGAAAATGCCCCCCCCCCCCCGAGCTTGTAACCAAGCGCATGTGCAAGTTTGGTGTTAATTAATTTGCTAATGTTCTTGTCCATGTCATGCACTGGTTATTTCAGGATCAAAATCTCAGTTCTTGTTGCCGCTTCCGTTGAGTCGTGATAGTTAAGAGTAAACTTTTAGCTCTGTTTTGCTTTTATACTGGATGACGCAAATGTACCAGCATTGAAAAATAGTGCCCTCTCTTGAATATTGCCCTCTCTTGAATAGTACCCTCTCTTGAATAGTACCCTCTCTGGCATAGTGCCCCATCTGTGTGGGCGAAAAACATTAAAAATAAATAGTTCCCCACCGCCACTATATTGCGCGAGCACGGTACTTGTACATGTCATGCGCCTAACCTTGGTGTCCCTGTGAACTTCCGGCACACTCCGAACCGATTCATGCTGACCCACTCGTTGTTCCCTAGATGAACAGTGCGTGTGCATGTACATCATGTACATGCTTGTATGTGCTCAGTCGCCGGTGATACCCGCGACCGTCGATGCCGTCGGCCTTTCCCCTTTTCTGTGAACATGTTTATATTGTTGTTGGTCTATCACCCTCCCTGAGCTGAGGAACATTGGTCTTGTTGAATTTCAGTTTTAAAAGTCGTGACACAGTTAGTTTGTTCAGCACCCCAAAATTGGTTTCTAGGTTCAAAGCCCGTGTCGCAATGAGTGAACTGGACGAGTGTAGTTTCATGTCCATGTATCTTCACACCACCGTGAATGGTATACATGTACATGTACATGTACATGTATATGTACATTTTGTACATGTACATTTTACATTTTGTACATGTACATTTTACATTTTGTACATGTATGATTAATTAACTGAATGCGTGAAGAAATGCAGCTACTGTACAATGTATGTTTTCTTGAAACAATGCCTCAGTTTTAAATGACAGGCTTGTGGCAGAGCAGGGCGACAATAATTATGGCGAGTGAAAACTGAAGCAACTGTCCATCGCATGAACAGCAAGCAATCGTCTTGAATACGTATGCTCACTTTCTCACAAGTGTGTATTTGGAAGCTATTGAATAGAATGGAAAAGATTGCTGAAATGTACATGTACAAGTACAGGTACATACAAAATAGCCACGTATTTTGTCACTAGTAGTCTGGCAGGGACAGTGTACTAATCAGCTTGCATGGCATATAGAGAAATGAGAAGCTCTGGAGAATGGATACGGTGAGACAGTCAGAGTGAACGGCGACTGTTGCTACTGAGCCAATTTAGTCCTCAGAGCGCCACGCGGGTACTGAGCAACCACAGCGGCAGGCGCACCTTGTACCTAGCACTTGAACTCTTGAGGCAGATTCTCGATGCCAATAATACTGTAGTGCAAGAGGCGTCGTGCGCGATTCATAGCCTTGTGCTGTTGAGACATGTGGTCGGGAACAGTAAAAGTGCTGTCGATGTGAGGATAGAGTCGTTTAGCCAAACTGAACAAAACAATACAACACATCAACCACCTTGAAGCTGGCCATCAGTGTACAAATTGTAATGACAATGCTCTTCAAAAAGAAGAGGAAGTTAGTTGTGTGCATGCAGCGAATGGGATTTCAGGGCTTTGACCACTTTACAGGAGGCCACTGGAGGTGATCTTTTCACATACCACCGCTTGCTGCACCATAGTCTTCTAATAATGGGCCTGTGCATGTGGGGCGTTGTGTCTGTTTAAAAGTACTTCGTATGTACAACGCAAGTGTAAAGAATAACTGAATGTTCTTGTAGAAGAACATTTTCCTTTCTTCATCCGTATCACTCGTTACTACCTACATGTAGTGCGAGGTGTCACTATTCTTTTTTTCTTCTTTTCTTTTTACTATGTTCACATTCCCAGCTCGAAAATAATAAAGAAAGACGATGATACTGAGACTAGGACGAACGTGACAACTATTGAGCAGGGGCTGCACCGAGACGCAGCAGTGATGGTGGGGCATTGATGGCTCTGCCGACCTGAGGACTGAGGTCTCGGCATCACGGCCAATTCAGCTTGGTACCATTCTTTACTCAGCTATTCCTCTATTTTGTCTTGGTGACGTTTTCACTGAGACCTCCCTCAACCTGCACTTCCCTCATTCTTCACACAGTCTTCTTCACACGTACATCGGTGCGTGGAAAAGGTTCGAAATAAACAGGCCCTTCGAATTACACCGGATTATCAGTACTCTACGACCCTAAACGCTGATCAGGCATGGAAATCTAAGTGTACGCACCTGTTGATGGAGTTGAAGGGACAGTTGAAGAACATGGCGGACCGCTGCATGTGTTCTAACGCCGATATCTGATCGAATGGCATACCATAGCTGTCCTCGGGTCGAATCTGCGACGCAAGGAAAACCATACGATTAAATGTTGATACTTTGAAGTGTGAGAAGTGAAATGCCTCATATTCGGGACTTTAAAATTGTACTCATTTTCTGGAAGATGTTTACTTGTACATTCATACGGAATAGTTGTATCTTGGTGTACAAATGAGAGTCCTCCGGCTCGGTAGAGTGCTCAAAATTCGTTCGAATAGAGCCGCAGTATCTTACACACGGCACAGAGCACCACGCATCATTCGATGCGTGGTGCTCTGTGTCGTGTGTATCTAGGCGTACACATGGGAAATCGTGGTAGACGCAGAGTCTACACATCATGTCATGCATGACACAGACATAGTTTTAGTTCATCTCAAATCATTCGATTGCCTGATGATCTTCGGACACAATTACTTGTATTATTATACCGAGATCAAGCAGCCATATCTTTAAAAATACACCCTAGTAATGCCGCTGTGATCGGTACCTCACAAACCGCTCTATCTAGGGATGTCGTGCTAACCTAAAGGCTCCTCTGCCTTACAGAACTCCGTGCGTCTGCAAAGAAGGCTTCCCACCTGCTCACTCCAAGGTCACCATGTACAGTGAAACCTGTCTAACACGACCGCTCATGGGACCTTCAAAATGTGGTCTCCGCCACCAGGTGGTCGCCTTATCCAGGGTCAATTGACTGGAAATAGCACCCCTTGGTCCTGGTTGCAGCGGTCTTCTAGAACAGGTGGTCGCCTTATCCGAGTGGTCGCCTTGACAGGTTTTACTGTATCTACATTCGTCAATGACACTAGCCTTACTGCTTTGGGTCGCCTTCTACATGAGGTCTGACGTCGGAGCTGACTGATCCAGAGATGTTTGGTATTTAGTACAATTCGACAATCCAACCTTGTTTTCGAAATGATACATTTCTAAATGGGTCTTGTTGGTGTTCCATGTGGATTTCTTGCACTTTGGCCAATAGACTTAGAATTTGATACATGTACTCTGAAGTACTCATATCTGTGGACAGCAACTGTTTCGCTCTGTTAGTTGTACTCTGAAGTAAATGTATGGCCACAGGATGATGGTTGTTTCTTCAAACGGCACCTGCCCTCGCCCAGCTTCTGTCCCCTGAACAAGGCAACCCTACCAGCCATCAGCTGTAAAATGACCTACTCAGCCAGGCAAACTGCAGCCACTGCGGCCAGGGGACATTTTCTGAAAACCAACTAACCAACCAAATCGCCGTACTAGTATTCCTTACCATCAAGAGGTTGTCCTCGTACAACCGCAACCATCCAGCAATGCCCAGGACGTCTGAACGTGGCCCTTTCGTTCCTATCCTGACCCTCTGATACAGCGTCCTCACATACGTTTCCAGAGCCCGGTAGAACTGTTGAGTGGCAGCCACGCGATGGATCCGAAACTCGGCCGACAGAGGGTTCTCTTCGGGGCCTATTGGTAGGCCAAGCACGTCGCTGTGATCGACATAGGTCATGTTCGATGGCTGTACAATGACCCTGCGGGCGGCCGAGTGCATTTCATAAGCGACTTTGCTTAGGTAAGAGCACCGAGAGCCGCTCTGCTGCAATGGGTCCTCGACGACCGGTGGGTTAGCAAAGAGAGATAAGGAGCCCGTGGTAAGCGCCGACCATACCAACACGAAAATCGCCAATAGTCTCCACTTGCAGGCCATGTTGGCTATGTTGGTGTGCAGTACAATTGTCTGAAAGAGAGTGTTCTAAATACTGCCTACTCGTTGGAAGACTGCAGACATTATCACGAGGTTCCAAAGGTGTGGAGAGGTTATATCGACCATAGATGGGACGCCGCACGCACGCGTGATCGATGGTTTAGTTTGTAGGATTCCAGTGACTTCCCGTGTACCTTACACCTGTGTCAAGTACAGCTAACGTGACTAACAAAGCCTCCTCCCTTCCTCCCCCCCCCCCCCCTCTCCTAAAGCGATGCCTGTACAAAGGTGAAGTGAACAGACGGACACAATGATGTGTGTTGATGCAGATGCGAACAGTAATTATTATTGCAGATCAACATTTACCTTGAAACGATACTCCTAATGGATTTGTGTGAAATGCAGTGCTCTCTTGAGTGTAGGCGGGTTGCCTGCAAACGATTCAACATTTACCTGGTATGCATATTCATTGCATAGTGTTGGTACCCATTTCAACATAAAATTTACATTGTAAATGTGCGGATGATGCATGCAGAGTCAGCTACTGAAGGAAATCGCGATCACGTCACGGTATTCCTCTATACTCAATAATAGATTTGAAACTCGGGTATTGAGCCAATAATAAATGTAGAAAGGAAAAGGACATATGGAAACAAGTTAAGAGTAACTCTCCACCACTGTAATTAAATACTATATACAGTCAGAAAGTGCAACAACTACGGAGATGTGTTGAAGCTAGGTGTCAGGACGTCGAATGTCTCAGTACTCTGTCAGTTTTGTGCCTAGTTGTTGCACTTTCTGACTGTATAATAGTATCTAGTTACAGTGGTGGAGAGTTACTCTTAACTCGTTTCCATATGTTCTTTTCCTTTCAATAATCGATGTGCGGTGGGCCATGCTAAACATCAGTCACTACCTGTGCGGTCACTAATAATCAACAAAATGCCTTCCCTCCGATACGCTCTCGCATGTATGGCAATAATGAGAAGTAGAGGTGTTTTAAGCTACTGAAGCGCATCACTCAGGGATACCGCGAAGCCTGGAGCTACGGCCTCCCACCATCACCATAATCACCGCCCGGATGTCAAGGACGTGCTGATACGACATTGTGTAAAAAAGATACATCAACAACGCATGGACCGGACGCACAGAAATAGATCATACTGTGATTGTATAATTATTGGCTTCCCGGTATTCCTCAAGTTGTATGTGATCATCCTGTTCAGAGATGTACATGTAGCTCCTAAGCCTTAAAATACCTTTTGCTCCGGACACTGAAAGGTTCCTGGCATACTACCTGTCCGTTGAAGGCTTCCCACCTTCTCACAGCAAGGTCACCAGTGGGTCAATGTGAAGTATCACTCGTACACAATGTACATCGTACTGTCTCTGTTTGCTGTTATCGCGAGGATTGCTGTTCAGTGCACCTGCGAGTTTCAAGCAAACTTTGTTCAGCCTTCTGTATAAGGCCGCTCCGCTTATCGTTCTTTTGAGCACGCTGTGTGAGCAGAGGAAGAAGAAAACAACTGCGGCTTCCTGCAAGCATGTACCTAGACTGCGACAGTTCCGACCTCGCTACCTGACCAGGTACGGAGTAGGACGTTATTCAAAGTAAAACGTGCAATGGAAGTCTGACACCAGATACCTACTACTCACCGTTACACTGGACCTTCCGACGCCCCTGGACTATCAGGACAATGTTTCGTTGATCTACTACTACTGTAGTAGCCTGTGCCGGCTGAGAGCAGCCTGAGCGGAATGGTATTTCAGAGACATAATAATATGCCGAACATTGTCCCATGATGGTGAATTCTTGAGTTTTTGGACATTGTATTGCATTGCTGCTCCATCTATTTGTTTTTCACATCTCTGTTTCAATTTTCCTAATAAAGATTGTGTCCAGTAGTAGTGCGGATTGAATTGTCCACAAAATGATTATGTACTTGTATTATGACTGTGTCTGATCTTAACAGTAATAATCTACGTGGAGATAATAATTTTAATATAGCTATGAATAGGATGAAGGCCGCAGACATCACGCAACTACGTTACTTGTTTGACATGTATTTACTGTGTATTTTATAACAAAAATATTATTGAAAACCCAGACCTCGTAAAAGACCTCGGCTTCGCCTCGGTCTTTTACTCGGCTTTTATTTCCTATATTGACCTCGTACTCAGTCAATATTAGACACGTAATATCTCGTTACCTTGGTGGACTGTTAGTCATAACTAGTAACTTACAGGTCCTTTTTCTTTTTACATATTACTATTGGCTCAACAACCGAGTTTTTATTAATTAACTTACTTCGAGTGAAATAGGTGTGACGTATTCTACACAAGTAGCCATGATGCCATTACTGGTGAGAGAAAAATTCAAAATGTCCAAACCTGCGCTATTATAGTCATTCGGTTATACTTTATGAGGGGGGGGGGGGGGGACAGCTAGCATCTATGCATATAATTCTATCATAATTTACAGTTTTATACGTGTTCTCAGACCTTGGGCCATGTCAGTGAAGTAGGTGGAATATTAGCAGCAGAAATAAATAAATGCCCTTCAGCATTCAAGTGCAAAGAGATTCTACCTTTCCAACAGCAACGAGAGTGTTCTCGTACACCTTTCTATACTTAGAAGTGATCTTGTCACGTATGTGTAGTAGTTTGTCAACATGATCAAAATATACTGTCAGCGGATCTTGAGAGGCTCCAACAAAACTACCGGTAGGTCAAGAAATCAATCATCAGACGGTATCACTGTGTACCCCTACAAACTGTTCAGACTCGAGATCCAGCGACAAAGTGCAATATGCGCGAATGGTTATTTGTGCCGCGCAGGATTGTCTGTAAGTTCCAGTTTATCGTCGAGTCTCTCACTGCTTCTTCGCCGCGTCTCATAGATGATCAGCAGGAACAGGAGTGCAACCAGCAATACGCCGCCCACGCTGCAGCCGATTGCTACTGCGATGTGTGCATTGGACGTGTCAGGTGTGCCCGTCGTCTCTTCTTCCGTGGCGTGTCGCGTAACATTGCCAGTAATGTCTGTTGTGATCAGAGCACAGAAAACATGTAGTAGCGCATCAGCATGTAAGACATCTTGCTACAGAGCCACTCATACATACACACGTACACAGTAATAATTATTGTCTCCTTGGTGTTGGAAGACAGAAACAGAGAGGATTCCTTAGTGGAGGGCTTGAAAGTTTAGATGTCAGAAATCAAAAAATTTAATAACGATGCATAGGGATCCCACTCTACCCATAGTGTATGCGGTGGGAAGGCCCCGCGTGTCCTACACAGGTGTGCACTTTTCTAAACCAGGAGCGGGTCCCCGACCAGGAGAGCCCGGTCACGTCCGGCGGATGTGACACCCTGATGTGAAGGAAAACCACCCCGGCATGTATGCATACCTGGTATATACAGACACCAGATCTATGTGGGTTCAAACCGTTTAACGTCAGCATTTCCATGACTCTGTACAGGCTGTGACGTAACACTTTCAAGTCCCGTAACGAATGTACTGTGCACTGAAAGCCATGAGGTATGATCACGCCTGCACTGCTAAATTCTATCCAAGTCCAGTCCAACATACCTTGACAAACCAGTGACCACTGCTCGAGAGGGCATGGCGGACTCAGCAGAAGACATCTGAAGAAGATCTCTGACTGGCCAACCTGTATTAATGTAGACGTGTCTGCACAGGTGGGCGGTAAGCAAAATGTCACAGGCTGCTGGTACTCGGCCGAAGACGCCTCAACAATGGACAGTGTACAGTTCATTGCCCTTAACACACAGGAGAGAAAAGGCAGCAATGTCTAAAATTGGCTACATTCAATTAGAAGTATATAAAATAAACGACGTGGTGACATCGTTTTGCATGGATAACCTTCAGTCACGATATTCCACTGATGAATGTGACGTGAAAATCGATTTTGGAAACCTTTTAAAATGTGTTGTGGCGATGACGGCAGATTGCATCCTGTGTATTGCAATTTCAATCAGAAGTAATGATACCGTACTGGCAATATATATGGTCGCAGTGAGGCCATGAAGCGTTACATTGGCATATGTTTACCGCACGCAGGGCGTTACATGCAAAGTCGCACAGGAGCCGTTACACAGGTTTCTATATTGCCGCAGTCCTTTTTTTGCTATTGCAGGACTTCCTGCTGCGTCCAGTTTTGAACTTTTCACCACGCGGTACACGTGCTTTCACAGTTTTCAGCCTTTTTTGCAATGAAAAGATCGCCGCACCCCGCCGGACGCGCGTTACGAACGCAACGAAAATTTGTCGCACTAGCCTGGTCGCGCGTTACGCCGCACCCCCCTGCGTTACGCGTTACGCGGCAACATATATTGCCAGTACGGTAGTATGACCTACATGGGATAAGCGTAGAGAATTGCTCTCCAATTCAGTGTTGATTTCCTTACTGAGATATGGATTCAAAATGGGCAATATAATATCGAAATTTGGTTCATGCTGGTCCCAGATTATCTGCAACAGATAGTCTGAGCATCTCTTAACTGGCAGACGTGGTGTTCCAATTCTCATACGTCCTACGTGTTACATTTCACAAAAATGAATACCAGTCTATAGGAAGCTTTACCCGCGATTTGCCACGGTTTATCCATGCTGGTGTAGATTCTTAGCCAGAACCGAATCCAGGTTAAAATTATTTGGTGTTCAGAATGCAGGAGTCTGCAAGTTATAATTAGCTAGTGTACCTATCCCCAAGCAGCCGAGCACATTGCGATGCGGTCAAGTTAGCACCAGTGGTCGGTCCGAAAGTTGGAACTGCCGACAGCAGTGCACTGCCAAGTAGTCCTGACTGAAGACTGGTGACAAAATCCTCGCCGGAGGGGCGTAGTAGCGCAATCAGCGCTTGGTTGCATGTCGCTGACTCCACTAAGGTGCGTAGGCGCTGCACAGTGGACTTAGTTCTGTTGGCAAGCACAACATAAGAAAAAATAGAACTCAGTTTGTGCATGCATGTGTGTGTGTGTGTGTGTGTGTGTGTGTGTGTGTGTGTGTGTGTGTGTGTGTGAGAGAGAGAGAGAGAGAGAGAGAGAGAAATAGAGAGAGAGATAGAGATAGAGAGAGAGAGAGAGAGAGAGAGAGAGAGAGAGAGAGAGAGAGAGAGAGAGAGAGAGAGAGAGAGAGAGAGAGAGAGAGAGAGAGAGAGAGAGAGAGAGAGAGAGAGAGAGAGAGAGAGAGAGAGAGAGAGGGGGGGGGTGTATTTGTATGCGAGACAGAGTGTGTGTTAGAAGGAGAGAGAGAGAAAGAAAGAGAGAGAGAGAGAGAGAGAGAGAGAGAGAGAGAGAGAGAGAGAGAGAGAGAGAGAGAGAGAGAGGGAGAGAGAGAGAGAAAGAGAGAGAGACCAATGAGAGAGCAATGAGAGAGAGAAAGACATCCATGAACTCCTTCGTCATACAGATACGGAGATTATCATGGGCAGCTGTTGATATGCAAGATGCTTGAAATGCACACCCCAACCCCCACCCCTCCCTCCCCATTCCGTTCAAGGTGCAGATCTACCCGTAGCGTACCTTTCTGAACAACATCCGAGCGACACACTGCCAATCTTGCAGCACTCCGGTGACCCATTTACATTTGTGCAAAATGCATCTGGATCATCTGCAAGGACGTCAGTGCAACCATCTGAAGATGCATTGGGAAAACGAGGACAGCAGGCAGATAGAGTGGCAAAAATTTTGGCAAGAACATAATATGTTACCTTGGGAGACAGTAGATGTACAGGGCGTGGGCAGACAGAGAAATGAATGAACGTACCGATGAATGGACGGACAGACAGAGTGTGCAAAATACACAATATTTCAAAGTTATGGGATCCCACAACATCTAGCTTTGCAAACAAATAACTGTCGTACTAAGAGGTGTAGGAGTTTGCCGCTGCCGCAGCTCAGGCTTAAACCAAAGCAGTCGTACTGTATTACCGGTGGTATCAATCAGGAGAGCCAACCTTTGAATTTCTCGATATTTAACATCAAATCCAGACTCTTCCTAGCTGAATTTTAACAGTTGACTCACCTGTTGTAGATGCCTGTACTTGAACATTATCACCTGTGCAGCAAAGAGACATAGGCACCAAGCAGACTAGTGTACAGGGAACTAATTGCTGACAATGCAAGCAATGCTGATTCGACCGCAACACACTGGGAAAGGCAGAACTGAGCTTTTGACAAGCTCAAACTACAGCAGCACCATGACAAGCGCATTGCTGCAAATTTTCTTTCGCCCAAATTTGACCACCCGTTCCATGCAACAAATATGCATGTGCATGCTAACCAATCCTCCTTGTGTGATAAGGTGGCATGGATAGTAGTCATCCTTATCACTCTGATTGTTCTTACATACTGGACATAATACGGTAAACTCTTTGAGTTCGCTCTCACAATCGGAAAGGTTCTTCTTTAGATCGGTTTTGGAAACAGTGAATTTTCGGAAAAATCAGACACTGCAAGTATTTTAAAAATATCAACAGCTTTGCCCCCCCTCCCCCCCCCCCTCCCCCCTCCCCCCCCTCCCCCCTCCCCCCTCCCCCCCTCCCCCTCCCCAGGAAAAGTATTTGTTACACATTGTTGAGATATGCAATGTGGCTTACCACTGCATTCTATTGTGCTATTCGCATAAAAGCAGTGTTTTCTTGAGAAGGTTATATCGCTGTCGCACTTGAGCAGGGCGTCGGACTGGGCCATCCTGTAGCGTTGTTCCAGAACATTGCAGGCCTTGGACATGCAGAAGGACGTTGTCACACAGCCAATGGCGCTGCAACGCTTTGAGGTACACCACTGCGAACCGGCACCTGGGCACAAGAATGCAATGTCACCAAGCAACAAATCAGGCACGCTTTAAAAAGTGCACAATAGCGTAGTGCTACTGTGGAAACGAAATCTGACCAATGTAGAATTTTCAGTGCCCAGAGTAAAGTAGCCCTTGACACTACATGTAGGGTGTGCTAAAAATAATATCCAACAGGCAGCTTTTCGTGGTGCTGCCCGGCTCGCAACTGAGTTGTCAGGGTATTCAGGATAGTACGGAAGAATGGGATGAGTGAACAGATGAGGGGATGAATGTATAAATTGTTGAGTTGGCTAATGGAATTCAGCATACTCAGTAGTAGTAGTAGATGGATCATGGAGCGCTGGATTGGGTGTACAAGATGTCTTTGGTGCGTTTGTAGAACCACTACAGGGGGGGGGGGGGGGTAGCCTCGGTCAGTGGATGGATGGATGAATGGATAGACGTACAGATAGGTGAGTGCATGAATGGATAGGTGGATAGGCGGATAGATACATGCAGGAGTGAACGCAAGGGTACTAGTTGATGGGTGGTGGAATGTGTACGTGAAATGTTGGACTGATGGACAGACAGAGCAGACATCGAGCAGACATCGAGTACACATCTATTGTAAATGCATTCCATCATGGCCTTGATTGGTGTTGCTTTGCACGAGTGGCTGCTTGCAAGGTCATGACCGGGAAGTACTAACCTACAAATTTCTCGCAATGTGATGGTGTCTCTTCACTGACAAGACAGCCATGACTATCTGGGCAAGTAAAGTTGAAGCTGATGGGGTCGTTCAGGCACTGCACCAGCCGATGAGCGCAGGGTTGCAACTGGCGTCCCAAGTCGGCTGCACACTGGCCGGAGATGTAACGGAAACGATTTGTCAACAGCTGCGAGATGCTGGAAGAACGCCAGAGTGGAGCCAAACAGCATGACCAATATCAGTGTAGTCGTGGGATTGCCATACTAGGGAACGAATCAAACTGCATCACGTGACTATTTGAACAGGTCCCCTATATCTGAACTCACTCAATGTTTGGATGAGAGAAACATGTTACTGGTATAAGATATGACTGATGGCCCACCAATCTAACCAGACCATACATCAGGTTATCAGTTGTCTGAGGATTGATTGCCTTAGCTTTGCCATGTGCATGAAACGCAGCGATACAACAATGACTTTGCCGGATGTCTCCGTTCCCTTCTGCCCGTGTGGTAATGCTACATCCTTGTGATGTTGAGCGACCTCTCGCTATTGTAACCAGATCATACAAATGAATGTATTCCACGGATAAGTATGTCATGGAAGGCGTGAATCCGACACAGGTGCATTGTGAATCTGAACGTTTTGTTTGTTTTGTTGACTGAACTCACGTGCAGGTGTAGTCCTGACACTCACACAATCAACTCATAAGAGCTAAATATGGCGATTACCGGCAAAGACAACGCCAAAGTCTACTGCACCAGGCCGCTGAACTTACCCAGTTGTGCAGCAGCTGACTGGTTGTCCTTGCAGCATGCAGCACACAGATCGCTCAGGGTTCGTACTGGTCGGACATGTTGCTGATGTGCAGTTGCCTGGAACAGTAGGATATTTACATTAGAGAATGTAAGACGACACAAGTTCCAGGCATTTTAAAAAATCTCCGATATTGTCCGGAGCATAAGCCGCACTGAAGTATAAGGCACGTCTAGATGTTTTGTCACGAAATGCAGACATCGAGTCTATTTATGATGAACTTTGTAGCCTTCTGACAGTTGATTCGGTTTATTACCAAAAATAAACAGTAGCACATAGTACACCAGCTTAGACTTTTACCTATCAGTGTACTTGCTGACCCTTGACCACCGCCTGCAGCAATGAACACAGGCAAGAAGAATGTGCATCATCAGTGCCTTGGGGGATGCCGTCAACCCAACCAGGATTAGTAGAGCCAAGGATGAAAATTGACAGAAAGGTCCAAAGGTTTACATGTCACCCGTAGCTTGTCCAACGCTAACAGACGTGATGGAGCTAAACATCAGGCCGTTGAACCTCAGTACCTGATCAGTCAGTATTGTGCTAAGTGTTGCACGTTCTGACTGACAAGAATCTTGCTTATAATTGTTAGTGTTGGATAAACTATGGGTAAAGTGTAAACGTTTGTCACTTCTTCCAATCAGCATTCCTGAGAAAACATGCTAATACCATCTTCTGCCATAGTCCACCAGACTAAACATACCGTTGAAGTACGAAAAAATACTAATAGTTTATACAGTTAAAAACCTGCTTGCATGAACCACCACATAGAATCAGTTCATTGCACTCTTCCAATGCAGGTGGTTGCAAAATCGGGGGGGGGGGGGGGGGGAGGGGGGGACATTCAATACACTCGGTGCCAAAGAAACGCAGTGTTACAGACCAGTTGGACATTGACAACAGGTGCCTGACTTTTTATCTTAGGTTTCATACACATATTGGCATGGACGATTCAATAAACAACCTGGATTCACACCGGATGACATCATACCTTCCCTTCAAGGTGCTTTGGTTGTTGTTTCTTGAACCACTCACCATAGCACTTGACACTGACTAGCGTTCCACTGCACGTTCTCACTCCCAGAAATATCTTCTCCAGGTCACAGTTCATGCGTGTTTCGCTGAGTGCAATCTGCGCCAGGGCCTGTGAGCTGACGCACGACTTTGGCAGGCAGTAGTGCTCGCGCTGCAAGCAGTAGAAACCGTTGCAGTTGCTCTGACACAGCTCTGCTCCAGGACCGGCAACCGGCTCACAGGTCAAGGCACTAAGGAAAAGGAGATTGGCAGAACATCAACACATCATTGAGCAAGACTGAGTGTTCACTATGATCCTGAGGCATCATTGATGGTCTTGTATCAGTTCTACACATGGCCTTCAGACCGCTTTGTGTTGGCCCATCAGTTCAAGTCAAGGTCATGTGGACGCCGCATTCAAGTTTACTGTTTGCACTAAACCTACAGTTGTGACAAGGGGGAATACCCCCCCCCCCCCCACCACCACCACCACCACCGCCGTCCCCAGAAACAAAGTAACATCGTATGCTGCAAGACCGGCCAAGCTAGTCGGGACCTGGCCAATGCACTGGATGGCAGCGCTGCTTTAAAGTTCAAACTTGCTCGCTGTGGCGAGTATCGCATCTCAGCATTGCACTGTGTTGTATTACAAAGAGGAGCACTAACTATAAGGTGAGCCGTGTTCGTACTGTAGTTGCAAGTACACCGGTGGCAAATGAAATCCCCCCCCCCCCCTCCCTGAGCGGTACGTTCACACTCTAGCGGTCTCTATTTCGCAGTGCTACAATCCCGTATTGGGTGTTTGCGGTGTGAGTGCACCGCTCAGGGGTCGGATTTCAGTTGACAGTACTGTATGTGGTAAATGTTGCTTTGTTGTGTGTGTGTGTGGGGGGGGGGGGGTGCTCAATTCAAATGTACCATGCTGGTGTAGACGGCGCTTCAGTATATCCATTACCTGGAGATATTCTCCGGGTTATCGATGCGCGACTTGCACCCATGCAGATCTGGACAGCTGTAGTTGTACGTCGCCAGGGATTCGTAGCAGCTGGCTAGCTCACGTTCACACGGCACCAGGGATCGTTGCAGAGCAAAGCGGCAGTTTCCGGTAATGCTGTGAAAGCGGTCCTCAAGCAGGATTTTCGTGCTGCAATTATAATGTTTGAGCAGAAGTGAGCAAATTGTTTTACAATTAGACACATTTGTAGAGCACATTCAGAAATGGAGGAATGCCTGGAGTTGCCCTTTCAGAGCAAGATGAATGCATGAGGTTAAAACTCCTGCTAAGTGAGTTAGGAGAATGTCATTGTATTTGCCTCTAGTCACTGGCATGGGACTCAGGATTCCAAGATTCCCGAAACGATTATTAGAAGAAGAGGAACTTGAACGGAGTTTTGGACTCAATTTCAAGAAGGTTCGTGCAGGGTTGGTTTACATACACATTTATCCCTCAGCTTTTTGATTCCCAAAGCTATGCACTTCGGTGCTCCGTCGTTGCATCCTATGTATTTCTTAAAAATGACTTGATTTAACCTAGCCACAGGACTTAATTTTAAAATAAGTTCCAGCAGCATCCCAGCCTAGTCACATGACTTAACCAGTACCTACACGTTCTGGCAACATTCCAATCTAGTCACATGACCAATCACATGACTAATTACATGACTAATCACATGAATAGTCACATGAATAGTCACATGACTAATCATATGACTTAACCTACACATTCTGGCAACATTCCAACCTAGTCACATGACCAATCACATGACTAATCACATGAATAGTGACATGACCTAACCTACATGCATACGTTCTGGTAACAACCTGACCTAGTTACATGACAAGTTGCTTGACGTTACTTACACGTTCCGGCAGCATCCCACAGGCCGGTCATCCAGCGCACAGCATTGCGTGAAGCGACGGTTCGTGTCCTCGACCGACGGGCAACTAGTGGCATTGCAAGTGACTGTGCAAGGGACCGCCATGACAGGATTGACAAACACAGCGCAGAAGGAAGAGAGTGCATTGCTAATGATTTCTTACACGTGTTTTGCACTTTGGAAGTGCATTCAATTGATAGTGTGAAACCTGACATGGTTCTCAGGTACAATGTCAACCATGCCCACCGTTGCATCATCCACAGCTAACTCAGTACTAGGTACAATAAAACCTGCCTAGGCAATCCCTCTGATAAGACCACCACTTGTCCCACAGTACCTGTACGACTAGGACCAAGGGAAGGGTTCAAGTCAAATCACCCTGGACAATGAGACCAGCTGTACATGGAGACCACTTCTGTAAGGTCCCTTTTGTGGTCAGCTTAGCCAGATTTCACTGCACTAGTATACTTGTATTAAGCAGCTGCATCATACAGTGCTGGCAACTGAAATCCAACCCCCTTGCCGGCGCGGCGGGCCGCCAAGGGGGTTGGATTTCAGTTGCCAGCACTGTACATACATGTATTGAACAGCTGCATCATACATACATGTAGATCATTCGCGTAGCATAGCAGAGTGTTGCCAGTTACCATGGTTACTGGGAACTCCGCCGATTAGATCTAAACATGTCGAAACATTTAGTCGTCCCGAGATTAAGTATACACTACGTGGTTGCACCCTGCACGCCTTGGTGAAGTGTACGCATGCATTCAGCTCTATGACATGCAATGAGCCTGCAGGGTGAATGGTGGTGCAAACTAACATGTGAAGTAAGACAATGCTACAGTGTGCAATGCATGTACGCACAATCCCAAGTGAAGCTCAATTGTGCCGACTATGCTATATACACAGACCATATTATTCATGTGACGTCGTTTCCACAGTATACTAGTACGTACATTGACATTCGGTGGGCGGTGGCGGGTCCCACAATCCGCTACTCCGGCAAGTACTGATCAGGTCAAACGCGGTGGTTTTGAAACCTTCCTGACACTGATACTGAGCTACAGTGCCCACCGTGTACTGGGCTGCAGAGACGGAGAAGTTAGTGTATCGCGGTGCTGTCGTGTACAGCACTGTTCCGCGGATGGGTGGTGGTACTTCTATGCACAGTGATTCTGTGCAAATTGATCAACATACAGAGAGATAGAGAGAGAGAGAGAGAGAGAGAGAGAGAGAGAGAGAGAGAGAGAGAGAGAGAGAGAGAGAGAGAGAGAGAGAGAGAGAGAGAGAGAGAGAGAGAGGGGGGGGAGAGAGAAAAGTACTATTATCTAAATATAAATGGAGTGGAACCTTCTAAGTCCTAACTGCCCTCACCATAATTATATGGGTTATACATGTTGACAAAAAATGTTCTGTCTTGGCCTGGGGATGCCTGGGTTAGAGAATGCATACACGTGTTTGGGTGAAACTGAGCCCGGTCACATATTAATATATCCAGAATGAAATGCCAGCTCCGTAAGGGAGCTTTTCAGCTTCATTTCACGTAATTACATGTACATCGAACAGTTACGCTCCATTTGTCTCTGGACTGGATCAGAGAAGAAGGATAAATGCAAATGGAACTCACCAAACTCGCATAGCTGTCCGGAAAAGTTCGGAAGACACCTGAAAGGAGGGAATGAGTAACCGACAACACAGCAAAGGATAGCAGCTGTGAAATTCAAAGTCACTCAGCTGGGGGATCTACTACAATGAAAACATACGCTTTCCCAGGCTGACTTGCATAGATGACATGGTCAGGTAAGGATTTCTACTTGTTTCTATGCCCGGTGCCTAATCGACCTCAGAGCCACGTTATACTGAAGTATTTTTTTAGACTTCTAAAAAGTTCATGCGATAAGTGTGATGTGCTGCGTTCTAAAACTTCGGTACCGTACTTTCCGGAGTAGCACTGGAGTGGACGCCACACTTTTTTTTTGGCACAAATACAGACATCTTTCTTGTTTATTTGACCTTCGTAGTATAAGCCGCTCCGGAGCGACTTTATTTGGTGAATCACTGGTATTTAAAGTGCGGCTTAAACTGAGGAAAATACGGTATAATGTACTTGTACATGTAAACATAAGAGTGTAGTCTGAGCCGCCTGACTTACACACATTTAGACGGTGGACCTGGCTCACAGCTTGCACCGTTTAGACACTGGATCTGCGAGCAGTCTTCCACACAGTTCACTGATGCAGGAGACAGCAGCACATAGACAAGAGAACATGCAATTGGATATCAGTTCACCCGTCGGCAGAGCATATCAAATACATTGACGCTAGCTGCCGTTACAAATAGCATGACAACTCCGCTATAATAATGAATTGGTGGCAAAAAATTTCGCTCTTCCTGACTGAATCTGACTGATATGGCGAAAGAGACCCATGAGTATGCAATCAGTGGGCTGGACAATCACACAATTGGCTCAAAGATAATCAGAAAATACCTTTTCAGTGAAGTCCAATTGCGTCAGTAAAAAAAATGCGCTGTGTGCTATGCAGCTCTGGATCTGAGCACACCAGGATGTGAACTGGTACAGTGTGCACACTTGGCTCACACTCTTGGATTCCATCGACAAGCACTGTGTTACTTATGTAGCTGTGCATACCAGGGAGTGGGAATATTTTGCGCCATAATGCGATAGGCAAAATGAGGTGGCTTCGCTAGGGCTGCAACGGGCATGGGTTTGATCGGGGGGGGGGTAATGAGTTTGGGTACTGCTATCTGGGTAGCACGGGTACCCTATAGCACGAGTACACCGGTACACGGCATCGCATGAGCGGGATCACCACCATGCATTCGTGTAGTATGACTGTACGTGTACAACATAGACAAATGTACAGTAAGCATGTACAGTACATGTAGCTGCACTTCTGACATGAACCGTTGCATGGTGATTTTGTTTGGTTGTTTCATTTGATTTCGCCGAGCTATCAGAGATGCTCAATGGCAAAACGAATGGACGTCGAGAATGTGGGAACATCAAAATGGACTGTGCTAGACAAACCGATGGCTACCTAATGCAAGACATAAGTCTCGTATTCTGTGTACAAAGGGGTACCGGGCAGGAAAACTCACCTCCGTCGAGCACGATAATGAGGACAGCGAGCCACAAAGCCACTACTCGCCAGAGCAGAACGTGTCCGCAGCTCGAAAACGACCACGAGTTCAAGGATATTCCGTCTAGGGGCAGTGCGGTGGTATGTGTGCGGTCGTCACCGCCAGTCCTTGTCCTTGCCAGTGGCATTGCCACAAGCCCATTCATACAATGACGGATTGTTTTGGAGAAAATATCATCCGCACCCTCAAGTGACGATTGCAACTTTTCGCAAGGTCCAGTGGATACAGAGCAACGAATGGACCTCTACAAGACGTTATCCAATTAATCATTCTCCGCTGGTGCTCGCTCCCGCGCGCCCATCGGCATGATCACTCCCCCATGGCCATATGGAGCAAAGGCAAGTCATTTGTTCAGGATCACGCCGCAGCGCTCAGTCACACACGCGTACACGTAGGTTCAATCTGTTCGTTACGAACTACGGGCCAGGCTGCCGTCAAGTAAAGTAACACGTATCGTTGCAGCAAGACTGCATACGCTCCCATTTACTCTTGGACAAGTTGGTCACACCCAGTAGATCTACGCAAATGAGTCACAGTAAAAAAAAGAGTAAATTATCGTGTCCGTTCCCGAAGGGAACTCACGACGGCCGCTAATAACACCCGGTAAACGCTAGGACCCATACAAAACAATTTCAACTGAACCTGTGGAGTGTGGTTCGCGTTTTTGTAGAACAGGGTTCGGTATGCGATGCACCGAACCATGACTTGATCTTGTCGCCTTCGCGCTTTCATTTCGGATCACACCCACCCACCCCCACCCGCAGTGCAGGCTCCAACTCTTCATATCTGCGTCTCACATGACAGCCTCGCTGCACAGGCTTCACTTCAGAACTCAGACAGCAGACAATACTTCAATAGTTCAGCTCCTCCGAACTACACTTAATGTTATGCGAGTCATACAGACTAGACTGGCGCTTGTCAAAATGTCAGTCCTTGGATAGGAGCGAAGTCACACCTGTCCGAGTGGTCTGATATTGCCGCACCACACACATCGAGGGATGATCACCAAGGTTACCCAGATCAGAACTTACGGTCGGTAGTAACATTATAGGTACAACACTGTTATTGGAAAGAACACAACGGTCGGTGGAATACTAAAAGTAAAACGTTGCAAAAGCAAAGCAATCTAGTGTAGAAACGAAATCCAAAAGCAATAATCGAGAAAACAACGACAATCATAATTTCAAACATGAACCTTCAAAGTGAAATGGCCTTTTTTACGGGCAAAACTAAACTGCAAAGCGAAAATGCCAGCTGCTCCAAAGAACTTCAAGTAAAGTAGTTACATATACATGTACATGAGTGTAGGTACCCGCAGGCCTTGGCGGATAATGCTCGAAAAGGCAGAACCATACGAAGCTTTTTATTTTAAAGTCGTGGTGAACTGGATACTGGATGGTCGCTCGACCCGCATGACGGGGCCAGAATGTTACTTGGACAAGGTGATGTACTGCTCCTGGAGTGCAATCACCAGTAACCGTAAGGAAGAAGCTGGCGAAGACGGAGCTGGCTCGGGAAAGCAAACAACGACGGACAACGACGAGGAGGTTGACATGAAACATGTCCTCCAGGGCGGTGAGGCGGAGGTGTTGGAAGTAGCCGACGGACCGTTTCGGGTAGTGCCTGTTACTGCGCATGGAAGCCACAAAACACAGACCCACATAAAACCGTCACCACGGTGATGGGCTGTGCTTGGTGGCTCTCTTGCCAAGACAGGTGCGATCACGCCGATCGGCGTTGAACATCGCCGTACAAGTACAAGTACAGCTCGTGTTCTCTCGTCTCCAGGTGTTTTTCCAAGAACGTTGCCCGTTCCATGAAGATCAATTTGGTTTCCGGAAGCACCGGTCGACCGAGCAACTCCTCACGAAGGTAACGAATGATTGGCTGCTAGCCCGCGAAGCGGGTCTGCATACAGCTGTTGTTTGCGTTGACCTGAAGAAGGCGTTTGATACCGTGCAACACCAGCAACTTCTCATCGCAATCGCGGCCGTGGGTATTTCTGACATAGCCCTGGCTTGGTTGCAGTCATACCTCCGTGGACGGCAGCAGCGCGTGGTTACCTACATCGGAACGTCTCCTCTGGTACCAGTTACTAGTGGCGTACCTCAAGGCACCATTCTGGGCCCTGTGCTCTTCAATTTATATGTGCGGAAGCTGCCGCTCACAGCTGATGCTCTTTCCTGCAAGCTGCCGATGTTCGCGGATGGCATGACGCTGTATGCCAGTAGAAGGTCGCCAAATGAAGCTGTCGACGCCATCAACAAGGTACTTTCAGTGCTTGCTCTAGATCTTGCGGACCTAGGGTTGTCAGTCAACTCTGCCAAAACTGTCGCCATGTTCATTTCCAAACTCCCCATGCACCTGTCTGTTCCTGTGATACTCAACGATCAGGTATTGACCCGCGTTACCAGCACCCGAATCCTGGGAGTCATCATTGATGACCGCCTAACGTGGTCGCCTCACATTGACTTTGTAATTCGCAAGACATGTGCTAAGGTTGGCGCTCTTCGTCGGTCCTTTCGGGAATTGAGCAGGAAGGCCAGGAGGCAATTTATTGTATCAGTCATTCTACCTGATCTTTTGTACTGTTGTTCGTGTTTTGTAACGAAGCTGTCCCCTAAGGACCGCCAAAGGCTCTCTACTGTGTTCCGCCGTGCTGTGCGAGCTGCCTGTGGTGCTAAGTCACAGGACGACATCACGCCATTATTGACCACATTGGCGATTTATCCATTTGAACACTATATGATTCTCAACTTTGCCCAGTTTATTCATAGAAATCATGTCATCATCTCACTGCCTACCCTAACGGAATTATTTCCACCGATCACAACAGGCCTTAGAACTAGAAGCCACTCTAATGCTTCCATTGCCATATCTAAGCACCGGACAACTGATGGAGTAAATTCTTTTTTCTAATCGTGCCGCAATTTTCTTTAATACACTACCTGCCGAGTGGCGCAGACACCACCGTACCTCTACATTTGCAAACCAACTCAGGGATCTTTTTAAAGACCCAGTGGCGTTTAAGAAGTATTTTGACCTTCTTTTTGGAATCTGTTGAGTTTCTCGATGATCTTGATAGCTCTTGTACTAAGATTGAAGTTGACTTGGTGTTTGATTACTGTACTGCTTGATGTCTGAATTCCAATTTTTTTCTATTTTTTCTTTTCTTTTCCTTTCCTTTCCACTTATCCCGTTATCGGCCCTCTTAAGAGTTGTGTGTATCACTGTTGAGGCATCCGATGGTAAATAAAATAAATACTACTACTACTACTAAGTACATAGTACACAGCGATTGTAGATCAGGGAGTTGTACCCAGGGATGACCCCCCGGGCCCCGGGAATCGCAGACTCTACGATTCGCTCCTTGTGGTCGATGGTCGTAGAGTACTAGTAGATAAGAGAGTTGTATAGAGGGCCTATTTAAAAAAAAACGTGTTTCAACTGGAAATTCGTAATCGTTCCCTCCTTAGAAGGTGTGAGTATACATAGCTCGCTGAGCATCCCATTGCTTTGTAAGTTGCTAATCCCTTCCCACTTTGTGTACGTGCTCTTCATTTTCTTTTTTCTCTGCTTCCGTGGTTGGTCTCACCCTCTTCTCTACTAGTATTCAACTGGCTGTCTTGACATGCCACGAGGTGCAGAAATAAATAAATAAATGTATTATACACTGCACCTATGGCCTGACTAGTCTTCTTGCATACGAGGGCAACAGGGTGATTCCAGAAAAGGTTGGCATCAAGAAGGACACCAAGATGCCTGTCGTGATCTACATATTCTATGGGGTGGCGGAGAAATGGACATTTATGGGAGGGAGAGGGTAGTAGAGAGTAGTAGATAGTGGGGGAATTATCATTACCTTGGTCTTCCCGACGTTAGGTTTTAGCTTCCACAATGTCATCCACGAGGTGATATCCATGACGCCCGCTTGAAGGTCCAATGTAAGACCGGTAGGCATTGGCGGATAATGCTCGAAAAGGTAGCAGATTCTGCTCGAAAAGCAGTGAAATTGGCAGAACCATACAAACCTTATGGCGGGCAATTCCTCGAATTCTGCTCCATTTCTTTATCCACATACCAAACATGCATGAAACTTACCAGAAAAAGTACCGAATTCTGCCAATTTTTCTGCCGGCATTATCCTCATATGCCTAGAGACGGGGAACAGAGGGACTACTGCGCAGCATACTAATGCCATCTGCAAACCTAGACACGCCAGGGTTGAGGACAGGGAGGTCGTTGACAAAGGCCAGGAACAGTAGCGGTCCTAGGGTGGACCCTTGCGGTACATCAGAACAAACAAGGAGAGAATCAGAGAGGACTGGACCAAGCTTTACTATTGTTGTAATAGGAGGCAAGCCACGACTGCAAGCGTCCGGTGACCCCATAAGCATGCATCTGGGCTACTAACACCACAACCCCGCTCTGCATCGTCGAACAACACAAGCATCTTGGCGTTACTGTTGACCAACACTTAACATGGAAATCCCAGATTGAAAATGTAGACAGTCGTGCTAGCTCAGTAATGGGATTTCTCTCCTCACACATCACCCACCTTCACGCCGACTGTCGCCACGTTATTTACACCTCTTATATTCTGTCTATTTTGATTGTATGTATGTATGTATGTATGTATGTATGTATAACTCATAATCACAAGGTGATCGTAGAGGCATCAATCAGCGAGAGAATTGTGAATGATGTCTCTGAATCCAACTCTATCGTGTGCTGCATGAGAGAGAGAGCATGCAAGGGAAGACTCGTCCAACTTTTGATGTTAGAAATCCATCTCTTTAATTATTGCTGCATAAATTGGGCTTGCATTTCTACAACACTGTTGGCTCGACTCGAAGTTATGCATGGGCGTCTTCTGAAGATATTATTTCGGCTTCCTCGCCTGACTCCAAGCACAGATTCATACCGCCTTGCTTCTATCGGCAGTTCTACTGTAACTTGGGCATACTTGCCCTTTCGAGCAACACCTTCGCACACGAATGTGCCGCTAGCGCTCTCGGTTCGCGTGCGATTTTTGTCTCGTCAGACAATTCATAAAATTAACTTAAGCTGGTCATTGCTCCTCCTCATGCTCCCTACCGCCTAAGCTGGTTTGTTCAATCTCAAGAAATGCGCAACAAAAACTCTCTCCGCTTCCCTATTGCGCGATCTGCCTCTATGCAAACATTTCCTCTGCTCCTTGCTTACCGCCACTGGTCTCACCTACCACAAGATCTAAAATCCCGCCGCAATGTTACAAGACATTCATACAGCTACTGCAGAATGCAATATACATGTACTAGTTGATATCCAGCTCAGCCCTAGCTCCCCCCCCACGCTTCCTTTACATTTCAGTTCCCCTTTCATTCTTCTTACTTTCTTCCCTCTATTATCGCTATGTCTGGCTATCGCTATGTCTGGATATCGCCCACATCACCTTTTCATTGGCTAGTGCCACGTCATTGTGAATAAAAATAAATAAATAAAAAATAGATAAATCGCCGATGCCAAAATCAAACCGTTTGCTAGGTCCAAGAAAGGTAGGTCAATGTAATGCCGGTGGTCTCGGAGGCTGCACAGTCTCTGAAAAAGGTTGGTTACGACAGTAG